CGCCCTCCGCGCCCGCCCTCGCGCCGCCCCGGCCTCGGTGTGGAGCAGTCCCGGACGGCGTTGGGGAGGGAGAGGCGCCGTGCGTCCTGCGGGTCGCGCTGCGCACGCGAGCGCCCACCGTGCACAGGTTGAAGGCTCGTGACCTCTTACCGTCCTCCAGCCGCTCACGGGCGGGTCGGAAACCGGAACCACCTTGAACACGACTGTGCCCTGGGACATCGCCTGGCAACGACAGAGGGAGAGCGCTGAGCTGCTGTGCTGCGTGCACTGGCCAGACGCGACCGCCCCGGGGACTTCGCAAGGCCAGAACTGGAAGCTCTGCGTCTGCCTTGCTGCGGGGGCCCCCATGGACGAGGCCTTGAGCAGGGAGTATTGCGCCCTAGCTGTCAGAAGCACCCTGCCCTGCAAAGGTCCTCTCCACAGGCAGGGGAAGAGATGAGCTCTCTGTCCACCTCCTCCCTCCTCACCCCTCACTCGGAACACACTTCCTGAACACCTTTTCTTTTCTTTTGTTTTCTTTCTTTTTTTGTCTTTTTGAGACAGGGTCTCGCTATGCAGTTCAGGCTGGCCTTGAGCTCACTTTGTAGCCCAGGCTGGTCTCGAACTCGCAATGATCCTCCTGCCTCAGCCTCCCGAGTGCTGCGATTACAGGCTTGTGCCACCACGCTCAGCCTTAACACTTTTTCTGCACCAGATGCTCCAGTCGGTTGGGGCAGAGGAGGTGCTTCCAAGGTGGAAGCCAGGAGCCCCTCAAAGTGATGGAGCAGAGGAGAAGCCCAGAAGAGCCCGTGCTATACACGCGGTAACAGACGGCAAAGATCGGGGATTAGCCTAGCTCTTACTTTTGGGAATTTCACCAACCCGCTGTCTTGGCAACTCCGCAGCTGGTACCAGGAGGCTGAGAGAGAAGCATGTGTGTCTGTGGTTTGCAGTACACGCTTCAGGCTCCCTTTGCTGTACCTTCCATACCATACAAAATCCTACAGCAAGAGCTCAAATTTCTCATTGCCTCACCCCTAACCATAGTCTCTAGCCATCACTATGGAAACCTAGAGGTCCCCAGGAGCCCAGTTTGAGAACCACTGGTCTATCTATCATGATCAGCCTTAGGCCTCACACTTGGGGTGTGCAAGGGGGAGAAAGGTAGAGTCACGCCATCAGCTTAACTGTGACTCGGAGAATGGAAATGGACAAAAGACCAAGGGCTCAGAGAATCAGGCTATGAAGCACAACTCCAACCAGCAGGAGCAGGGGCCGTCCTCCCAGGGTGCGGCCGTGTGGAGAGCTCCCCTCCTCCCAGGCTGCCTCCGAGGAAGATACTCACTAGATCTCAGCTAGGGCAAGGCATGTTCCTCTCAGATACCACCCAGCCCCTTTCCAATGAAGAGCCCTGGGTGATGAGGAACCCTCCGGGGCCTGGCTGTCCTGAGGAGCAGCTTGGGGAGGGCTCTCTCCTGGCCAAGGCCAGAACTTCTGGGAAAGGAGGAAGGTCCATGAACTGCCTGGCGACAGGCAGGGCTGGGGCTGGGCACGGGGGCTGCCGTCACGTTACAGCACACACACCTTCCACTGAGCTACGAACAAGACGGGAAGAGAAGACTTTACCAGAATGTGGATCACTTGCTCAGGCTCCAGCCCCTCAACAGAAACCCCGTTCACCTCCACCAGTTTGTCTCCAGCATACAGCAACCCTAGGCAGACAGGGACACAAGCAGAGGGAGGGGACACAGAAGTAGGGAAAAGGAAAAAGTAAGACAGCCATTCCAATTGCTGTGAACAAATTTGCAAACCCAAACATGCTTCACATTTTTTTATTTATTTTTGTGTTTTTTGTTTCTGTTTTTTTTGTTTGTTTTCTTTGTCTTTTTGAGACAAGGTCTTGCTGTGCAGTTCAGGCTGGCCATGAGCTCACTTTGTAGCCCAGGCTGGCCTTGAACTCACAAGGATCTTCCTGATTCAGCCTCCTGAGTGCTGGGATTACAGGTGTGCACCACCATGCCTGGCCCACATTTTAAAATGTAGTGGGAAATAATGACAATAAAGCAAACTGGTTATTACAACTTAGATCACAGAAATGTGGGAGCTTTCCATTTTCTATCTGTTTACTACTGCTGATGGTGACACTTTTATTTCTGCTAACCTGATGTTGTAAAATGGAACCAGAACACTGGTAATAAGATAGCATTAAAAATAAAGGCGTCAGCGTTGTGAGTAAATGACCAATGGGAGGGAAGAGTGGGAGAAGTCTTCAAAAGGGAACTGTGGAGAGACTTGGAGGTTAAGACGAAGCCTTAGCAGTAGCTGTCAGGGCGAGGGGCGGGGAGCAGAGCGGGAAAGGGAGGTTGGATAACACATACCGAAATCCAGTTACACCAGAGGAGCACGTTCTAGTCTTCTACAGCACAGTAGATGACTATAACTTACAGTACTTTGTTCTATACTTTACAAAGGACAAGAAAGGAACTCAGAGTTTCCCAACATAAAGAGCTCATAATTTAAGAAGGAAGTTTTGATTACTCTCATCTGATCATTATACTGTGTACGTGTATCAGTTACCACACGGTACCATGTGGTACCATGAACATGCGTGATTATTATGTGTCCGTTAAAAAAGGTGGAGCCTTGAGGTAAGGCAGGAGATGAGCCAGGAAGCAGGGTGACGTCCAGGGACGGAAGCCACGAGCGGTAAAGGTCTCACGAAAGCTGTCAGTGGCTCACAGCACGGTGCAGAGCAGAAACGACTCTTCCAGAAGAGAGGAAGGAAAGAAAGAGTGGCACAAGGGCCTGGGAGCGGGGCCTTCCCTGGAGCGTGTGTTCCTTCTTCCTGTACTGCCCTAACCAAGCAGGGGAGCTCACCAAAGCCAGGAAAGAGGGGTCCTGGGGAAAAGGGACCCCATAATCAAGCGGTCCTGCTTTTCTGGTCACACCTCTGCCCCACTGCTGCAGCTTACCACTCCTGTCCACCAGCCCTCCGTGGATGACCCTGGCCACCAGGATGTCCCCTGTTATCTCATGGCGCTTGATAGTAGCTCCCTGGAGAGAGAACACAATGGAGCCCCAGGCAAACGTTCATGTCCACCAGCGGGAGGGGCCACCCAGTGCTGTCCACTGCACCTCAGAGAGGAGATGCCCTTTGACCTTGGCCTCCTGAGCTTTTGTTCACCTCTAGAAACACGTGTTTCTACGCTCCCAAAGGTAGGTGGACCTCCCAAATTACAACCCAATCCGTAGGACCACTCTAGAAAACCAAACCAAGGCCTTACTTAGCTTCCTATTAATAAAGGAGTAAAATTTCAACAGAATGAGAGAAATACATGTGTGAAAAGCCAAATAATAAAATAAAAATATGTATGTCTTATTTTTCACAAAAATAAGTCTTGTGCTACGTTTCAAAACAAACTCAGCAGGGGTGGGTATATAGCTCAGCAGCACAGCACCTCCCTGGCAAGTGCAATGCTGTGAATTCCACTTCTGGTACCAAAAAAAAAAACCCACAAAAAACAAAAGCAAAAAACCACTAGGCAGAAGTCTTTCCATAGTGAAAACATTACAACCTGCAATGTGCTTGAAGCTGCAGGTAGAAGTCACAGTTCACGGCACCTTCACACCGCCCACTTGCTTCCAGATCTGACTTAGTCTGTAGTTAACCTTGGTAAAATTCTAAATGAAAGACAAAATGATTTCCTTACCAAGGGCTGCTGGTTTTTCACCAAACAAACAATCCTCGTTGCTTCTTCATCTCCAGGGAGACTGTCTGGCAGTGGCGGGAGGAGGGGCTCAAAGTCCTTCTGTGCCACCGTGTCGTGCGCGCTGAGCAAGGCCTGGGGAGAGGGGAGGCGAAGGTTCACAGATGGACACATGTTCAGGAGACAGTGACTCAGCACTACAGCCCAGCACCAGCTGGCGCGGAGCTGAGCACTGTATGTGGGTTAATTCAGTCTTCACAATAACTCTGTGAAGGAAATAAATTTATTTTCTTCAGTTCACAGAAAAACAAGGCACAGAAAAGTTAAGCAATGTGTAACTGTCCCGTCCATGTCTGCTAACGTGTGTTGTTGCATGACACGCTCATTTCCCATGTAATCTGGGATGTGCTGAAGGAGTTTGAAGTACAAAACTTTTGTAAAATTTTCTTAAATTAAGGCAGAATAAGGGGCATTAATCAAAACATCTCTCTGGTTTAATTTTGGCCTTTGTGGAGGAGAATAAGAAAAAGCAGTTCCCTGGCTTAAGGTGTGATCAAAGAGTTTTTCATTTGTTCTGTTTTGTTTTGGGTGTTTGAGACAGGGTCCTGCCATGTGGCTCAGGCTGGCCTTCAGTTGCTCTGCAGCGCAGGTTAGCCTGAAACTCATGATGTCTCTCCTCAGTGCCTAGCTCTGGGATCATAGGGCTCCAAAAATTTTCTACTCTGTCCCATCTCACACAATCCTCATCAAAATACCAACAGCATACCTCACAGAATTAGAAAAAAATCTTAAAATTCATTTGGAATCAGAAAACACCTAGAATAGCAAAAGCAATTCTGGGCAACAAAGGCAATGCAGGGGGCATCCCTGACCTGAAAATATACTACAAAGCTACTGTGATAAAAACAGTGTGGTGAGCTGGCACACCTGTAATCCCAGCACTCAGAGGCTGAGGCAGAAGGATCATTTTGAGTTTGTGGCCAGCCTGGACTACAAAGTGAGCTCAAGGCCAGCCTGAACTGCATAGTGAGACGCTGTCTCAAAAAGACCAAAAAAAAACCAAAAACCAAAAAACAAAACAAAACACAACACCAAAAAAAAAAAAAAAAAACACACAACAGCATAGTACTGACAAATACAACAACCAACCAAACAAACAAACACAAATAGACCCATGGATCAATGCAATGCATTAGAAGATGGAGAAACAACTCCAAACACACTCAGCCACCTTATTTTTGACAAAGGAGCCAAACACCTTCACTGGGAGAAAGACAGCTTCTTTAATAAATAGTGCTGGAAAAACTGGCTCTCCACATGCCAAAGACTAGAACTAGACCCATGTTTCTCACCACGCAATAAACTAAAATTAAAAAAGATCAAAGAGCTAAATATTAAAACAGAAACAATAAGCCGGGCATGGTAGCACATGCCTGTAATCCCAGCACTTGGAAGGCTGAGGCAGGAGGATCGTCATGAGTTCAAGACCAGCCTGGGCTATAAAGTGAGCTTAAGGCCAGCGTGAATTGCATACAAAGACCCTGTCTCAAAAAGACAAAAAATAAAATAAAACAGAAACACTAAATCTGCTGGATAATAGAATAGGTAGAACTCTTGGAGACAATGATGTAGGCAAAGACTTTATGAACAAATCCCCAATTGCACAGCAAATATTACAAAGAATCAACAATGGAGCTCTCATCTTATTAAAAAGCTTTTTTTGCACCGCAAAAGAAACCATCAACAGAGTGAAGAGACCACCCACAGAGAGCAAAGAAAATTTTGCCAGCTGTTCCTTAGACAAAGGACTAATATCTAGAATATATAAAGAACTTAAAAAAAAAAAATGAAGAACCTCCTAAAGTTAAAGACCCAATCCAAAAATGGGCATCTAAAATGAACAGACACTTCTCAGATGAAGTACAAATGTCAAATAAATATAAGAAAAAATGTTCAACATTACTGGTCATTTGAGACATGTAAGTTAAAACAACATTGAGATTCCTTCACACTCCAGAAAGAATGGCGATCATAAAGAAATCAACCAATAACATATGCTGGTGGCAGGGTGGGGAAAAGGGAACCTTTCTCCACTGTTAGTGGGACTGTAGACTGGTGCAACCACTGTGGAAATCAGTGTGGAGTTTCCTCAAAAAACTAAAAACTAGAAGTTCCATTTGGCTTTATTCCCCTGCTTGGTATCTTCCTAAGAGAGTTAAAAGCACCGTGCTATTGGAGACCAGGCTGTCCAGGGCTAAGTGGCTGAACACAGGGAGCTCGGGCTGTGTTAGAAAAGAGCACATGCACAGTGCTCTGAGGTCAAGAGAACGCGGCTGAGGCAGCCAAGGACACGGGCTGCTGACACCGCTGCTCCAAAGCAGTAAAGCTGCCAACCTGAGAGGTAAGGGAGACAGACCTCTTACCTGGCAAAATTTACTACTTGGAGGTCTTTGATCTTTGTAGTATTTGCTGTGCAAGGTCCTGTTTGGTTCCTGCACTTGCCTCAGTGTCCCCCTCCTTTGTTTGAAGAGCAAATAAATATAGGGCTGCATGGAGAAGTTCTTTGTCTCAACTCCCAGGGAATCTCAAATTCTGTTAGAGGATTTTTGACCTTCCTGGAGCCCTAAAATCATTCCACTTGTTTCTTTTATTTGAGTCATTAGCTGTCCACTTGTTTAGGAAGTTGCTGGCCTGATCAGTCCATAATACCATACCACAGCAATATATGCACACCCATGTTTATAGCAGTACAGTTTATAAAACCTAAATCTTGGAAGTAGCCCAAATGCCCATCAACCACTGAATGGATAAAGGAGATGTGTTTTTTTCTATACAATGGAGTACTACTCTGCCATAAAGAGGGATAAGCTTAAGATATTTCTACCAAATTGGATGCACTTTGAGACCATACTCTTAAGTGAAATAAATCGGACATGTGTTCAAATATCACAAAGTTTCTTTGCTGTGAGAATCTGAAAGGATAAATAAGGACCAAAATGTATAAACATATTGGGAAATAGGAAGAAAATGTTCAAATGGGAAAATGTTCAAATGTATAAACATATTGGGAAATAGGAAGAAAATGTTCTCCCCTGTCTCAACAAGGGAGAAAGGAGGGGCAAAAGGAGGAAGAGAGTAGGAAAAAAAAAAGAATAGAAGAAAAAATGGAAACAAAGCTTTGTAAACAAGGAGGGGAAGAAGGGTTGAAAGTAGAGGAAGGAGCCAGGCATGGTGGCGCATGCTTTAATCCCAGCACTCGGGAGGCTGAGGCAGGATGGTTGTCGTGAGTTTGAGGCCAGCCTGGGCTACAAAGTGAGCTCATGGTCAGCCTGAACTGCATAGCGAAACCCTGTCTCAAAAAGACAAAAAGAAAAAAGAAAGCAAGCAGAGGAGTGGAGTGGGAAAAAAGAAGAATCAAGATATATCATATACAGGTACAAATTCCCTGTGACAAATGTGATCATTATGTCTATCTAAAATGTACAAATAAAATTAATTAAAAAATAAAAACATTCAGAAAATTAAAAAAGAAAAGAAAAAATTTCCATCCCCAGGTGGGAGTGCTGCTGTCCTCATACAGTCTTGCCAGGTAGGACTCAGGGGCACTCAGAGAAAACTCTAGTGGGTATGCTCTGGCTCTTGTGAATGAAAATTTTGATCCATAAACCCCATTGCTCCACATTCAGTCCTTGTGTTGGAAATTTAATTTGTAGATAGACTGATCTCAAAATCTGTAAACCCTGAGAGATTGGTTGTGATCAAATCTTCACACAGCCCCTCACAGAGGGTTCTCATCATTACACTACACTTTCCAAATACCTTCACACATTGTGTCCCAAATTTTAAAATTACCAGCCTCTAACTAGAAGCTGACCACACTACCTCCTGCTAGGGTTAGATCTAAAGTACTCCCGAGTCTCCTGTGCGCAGCGGGGGTTTCGGAAGGCGATTAGACCACGTGGGCGCTGCACTCCTCAGCGGGCTCTTCCACAGACCAGTCCAGGTGAACCTGCTGTCATGGGTGGGACTCAGCGGGAGGAGGGGGTCACTGGGGCAGCAGGCCTTAGGAGATCTCTGGCTCTTCCCTACCCGTCTGCTTCCAGCCACTGTGCGGTGAACGGCTCTCCCTGGCCATGTCCCTCTGCTGTGATGTTTGTGCTCTGGAGCCCACCCAGCTAGACTACGCCTCCTGAAACTGTGAGCCCAAGTACAGCGCTTTTACTGTAAATCACGCCTGTCAGGCACCGTGGCCCAGCAACAGGAACGCTAGTGTATTCTCCCCAGCCAGAATTGGAGAGACTGAGGCTTTATGTGGGAAACGGCCCCGCAGAAAGTTCTGGATGTCTCCTCATAAATGCAGCACCGAGCCAGTCACATCTGAGTCCCACACCAAGTACAATCTATTGGTCACCTATGGACAGTGACAGAAGTGACAGAATATCTATTCAGAGAGCACATTTCCTGTCACATTTATTCATATTGTGTCTATTTTAGCAGGCATTTTTTTTTTCTTTTTGAGACAGGGTCTCGCTATGCAGTTCAGTCTGGCCTTGAGCTCACTTTGTAGCCCAGGTGGGTCTCGAACTCGCAACAATCCTCCTGCCTCAGCCTCCCGAGTGCTGGGATTACCGGCACGCAGCACCATGCCTGGCAATTTTAGCAAGCACTTACCTTGTAGTGTGGAGCCTGGAGGATTTGTCTCAGCTCCTGGATCTCAAGGGAATCAGGGCTTTCATGTAATTGCTCCACTACCTGGCTCAAGGGAAACAGAGATCATAAAAATTTTTAAAACCCTTCATCACCTACTCAACCTTACACAGGCTGGGTAGAGCTATACTAGCAGGAAGGATGTCAAGGTAAGAAGCTGCCGCTGAAGCTGTCTTTTTCAACTTTAAAGTTAGGGTGTAGTGTCCCTCCTTAGCTGTTTTCTAGAGCAGATAGAATCCACAGCCGGTGGTGATCTAAGCCCTGTTACCCAGCCCCAGCGACATCACAGCATTGCAGAACTAGCTGATTTCGTAGAAGCAGGCACACCAAGGCACTTCCCTGCTCTAAGGTTGTCCTAGTCTCTGCTCGCTGATGTCGATGCTTCACAGGCAGATGACTGAGCTTCTGGTGCTGCCTGGGAGCTCAGGGAGCTCAGCGCACACAATGTTCCACTTTCCAGACAGAAAATGAGAGCGATGAGCAAATGAGCAGACACTTCTCAAAGGAAGTACAAACGCAGAGGAAGTATATGATCATTATAATGGTCAGCATCTTTAGCCATTAGGGAAATGCAAATCAAACCACACTGAGCCAGGCATGGTGGCCCACACCTGCAATCCTAGCACTCAGAGGCTGAGGCAGGGGCATGGCTGTGAGGTCAAGGCCAGCTTGGACTACAGAGTAAGGTCAAGGCCAGCCTGGAGTACATAGCGCAAACCTGTCTCAAAAACAAACAATAGCAGTGAATAGGCAGGCCAAAATTCTCACTCTCCTGGGGTTTACACTCCAGTGGAGATGGAGAAAATAAATAAAATATATATGTAAACAATTTTGCTTGATGGTGAAGAGCTAGGTAAAAACAAACAAACAAAAACGAGCACACCCAGGGAACTTGGCCCGGGAGTGCAAGGAGGAGGTGCCATCTAAAGTGACCAGGGAAAGCCGCCTCAAGAACGTGACAAGCATAGACGAGGGAGCTACTTATGTGGGAACATGAGCAAGAGCGTGGCTGACACACGATCAGCAGTGCACAGGGCCTGTGGCAGGTGCAGCTGATGGACCCAACCACGCCGAGGGGTCAGTGCACCTGAGCAGAATGAACAGGGGAGAGCAGTAACTGCAGAGTCAAAGGGTCACGGCCACTCAGGTGTTAGGCTGCATAAGAACTTCGGTGTTTGCTGTGAGATGGAAGTCAGGCATCTGAGCAGAGAAGTGACTCACATTTAATGAAGTGAAATAGGAAGAAAATGTCCAAATTGGAAGGGGGCCACGGAAGGGGGAAAGGAAGGAAGGCAAAAAGAAAAAATGGGAGAAAAGGGGGGGAAATGAAAACAAAGCATTTGTAAATAAGGAGGGGAATGCCAGGTGTGGTGGTTCATGCCTATAATCCCAGCACTCGGGAAGCTGAGGCAGGAGGATCACTGTAAGCACAGCCTGGGCCACAAAATGAATTCAAGGCCAGTCTGAACTAGTAAGATCCTGTCTCAAAAAGACAAGACCAAAAAAAAAAAAAAAAAGGAAGAGAGGTTGAAGGGAAGGGAAGGGAATGGGGAAAAAGAATCAAGATATATCATGTACAGGTAAAAATTCCGTATGATGAATGTGATCATTATGTATACCTAAAATGTACCAATAAAATTATTTTTTTTAAAAAAAGATCTTTTAGGTTGGTGTGTGGGAGCCACTACGGGCAAGGGCAGAAGCAGAAGACAGGGAGGAAGCTATGCTGCAAGCATCTTTGGAAGCGATGGCAACGTTTATTAGGTGGCTCAGGGGCAAGACGTGTTTTCAAAGTACAGCTGACAGGATATGTTGTCAGACTGGGTGTGATGCGAGGAAAGAGAGGCAAAGATGACCCTATGGATTTTGGCCCTGGGCACTGCAGGAACAGATGCCTTTACTAAGATGGAAAAGGCTGCAAGAGGAGACGGACGGGGCACTGACAGGAGGTCAGTTGGGACGTAATAAGTCTGAGGTGTCCATTAAATATCCAGCTTAGGTGGGGGGAGGCAGCTGGGTAGCTGAGACTGGAATTCAGAGAAGAGTTTCAGACTAGAAATATAAATGGGAGACTCACTACTATCTGTACTGTTATCCTATTTACATAGGCTACACTGAGTCCACAGGTCAGGTGGAGAAAGACAGAAATGGACTCGCGCTAAAACTGTATGAGTATGTAGGGTGTTAATTCAGGGAGGTAGCCAGACAATGTTCTTCTTTATAGTAAGGTCAAATTAAAAACACTAACATGCAGAATCACCAAACTTCCAGTGCAGCACTACAGGTAGCAGCATTACAGACTACTTAAACAAGCCCTGCAAGGGGCGTGGGGCCGGAGGAGCTCCTCTGAGCAGAGTAGTCACCTACCTCCCGGGATAACTGCTGTGCGCAGTGTGTGGTAGGAACTGGCTTCTTTTCTCTAAATTCCTGGAGGCAGCCGTAAACCTGCAGCACAGCAAGGGCGGGGGAACTGATATGGTAACATGCCCACTGACTATTGGTTTAGCCTCCCAGAGGGAAGAGGCAGCCTGCAGATGCCAGCGCTGGGGAGGGGGGCATCACTGGTCTTTACTCCGGTGCACCGTCTCCAGATGCCCTGGAGGAATGAACCCCAGTGTGGTGTGCCAACGCTTCAGAGCCTGAGTATTGGCTGCCAGCAGGAAACCAGCCTCTGGACAATGTCACTGAGGAAAGAAATCCAAACTCAGTCCTCTTAAACCAAGTAAAGCTAGTTTCTCGGACTGAGAGCAACAAGGAGGTGTAGACAGTGCGCATAGCGCACAAGGGCGGGTTCTGTGGTCCACAGCCCTGGAGGCCCTCAGCCACCACAACAAGCAGAGCACAGGCTGGGTGACTCAGGGCCGCCCAGGGCCTGCGAAGAGGCCGGTGTAATGTGGATGCTTATCTGCCCTCTGCTCTGGACTTCAGGGAGTTTTTATTCCTCCCTCAATTCTCTAAAACAAATTCATTTGAAAAAATTCCTACTTTGCCTCTGCTGATCCTCTGGAACTGTTTTCTGTGCCAGGATCTAGGGTTGGGCTAAGAACATCAAAGCCTAGCTCCACCTTAATCTTTTGTTTTGTTTTGTTGAGACCAGGTCTTGCTATGTGGTACAGGCTGGCCTTGAATTTGCTGTGATTCTCCTGCCTCAGCCTCCCAAGTGTTGGAATTATAGGTGTGCACCCCACGCCCAGCCTCAATCTTATTTAAGGAATTAAGTCTCTCTTCTGGGTAGAGAAATAAGGTCCACAGAGCCAGCTCAGCCCAGTCTTCCCCATCCACTTCTGTGAGCTGCTGTGTCCAGCTGTACTGGGCAGCAGCATTTGAGTTTATCAGAAAGTGCTCAAGGCTCACAAGGGGAACACAGCAGCTGCTCACTGACAATAAAGGGGCCAACACCCCTCCACCCAGTTCTCAGCAGGAGGCAGAGCCACAAACCCTTTAACGAAGGCCCACTCTGTTCTCCTGCCTTTTCTAAGACTTGTGTAGACCTCCTGTCACCTCCTTATCCACAGCTGAAGGCCCTCCTGGGACACTGTACTGTTGGCACCACAACCGTATAACCGTTGCTTGCCATGCCCTATAAAAACCCCAGTCTCTCACCTTGACTGCTCTGCCCCTGGCAGGGTACCTGACCCAAATACACTCTTGTCTTTGGTAAATTCTTTTACCAACCCTGCCTCACCGGCCCTCTCCCCTCTCAGGGCCGGCAATACCCATAATGAAATTAAAGCCCCTGACTTAGGTGATCTCTGGGAAAAGGCCTGATTGAAATCAAGTGCTTTAAAACAGGTGCTATCAGCCAGGCTTGTAATTCTAGGACTTGGGAGGCTGAGGCAGGAGGATCACTGTAAGTGTGAGGCCAGCCTAGGCTATATAGTGAGTTCAAGGCCAGCTATACATAGTAAGATTCAGTCTCAAAAATAATCTAAAAAAAAAAAAAAAAAAAAAGACCCATCGCAAAAAAAATAAATAAAAAACAAGTGATGTCATTAATTCTTTATTCATGGGAAAGATGTTGCCACTTTAATTTTATGACTATTAACATGCATTGTAAGACTGAGCACATTTCACACTTCAGTGAAACATCACATTCCAAAAAAATAACTTCAAGTGGATCTTTCTTAGTAATCTTTGTTCAGAGCAAAACAATTATAGTAGTAGCATCTACCATTAAGTAGTGAAGATATTTTAGCCAAATTTGAAAAAAAGAAATCTTCAGGGCAAGACACCCAAAAAGAACTATAGATGTCTCATTTCCTCACCTTAGAAAGAGGAAGGGTCCAGGGAGGTCAAGGCCAGCCTGGACTGCATAGCAAGATCCTGTCTCAACCGCACCCCCAACTTTAAAAAATAAAAAGAGCCAGGTGTAGGGGCTCATGCCTACAATCCCAGCACTTGGGAGGCTGGGGCAGGAGGATTGTTGTGAGTTTGAGACCAGCCTGGGCTACAAAGTGAGCTCAAGGCCAACCTGGACTTCATAGGGAGACCCTGTCTCAAAAAGACCAAATAATTAATTAATTAAATAAAAAGAGGAACGATTTTTAAAGTTTTTCTAAGCAAAGCGCAAGGTCCTGAGTTCGATTTCCGGTACCAGAAAAAAAGGAAAAATAAAGTGTATCTAGACTTGGCCTCAAGGACAAAGGAGGTGGACAGCTGATAAGGTGACGCTCTGGCTGTGGTGGTGCTGGCTCTGTGACCCCAGGCGCCTCTGCAGTGAAAGACCGGCAGAGAAAAGAGCAGAGCATTCCTCCCACCTAACTGCTTCCTGAGCTAGAAACCGTGGTTGCTTTCTTCTGAGGACAATACTGGCGTCCCTGTGAGTGACAAGTGACAGCCCTGAGGAAGCAGCCCCTCTGGTCTGACTTTCTGTGTCCTACGAAGTCCTCTGTTCAGACCCTCATCCCTGGGGCTCAGGAAGGGGGCCTGCAGGAGGGGAGCAGTTGCCTGGTGGGGTGGGACTCAGTCTTTGAAGAGCACTGCCCCTTCCCAGTGTGGGTCAGTGAACCAAAACACAGGCCTTCAGCAGAGCCCCACTCACCAGCGCCCAACCTGGGGCTTTCATCCTCCAGACCCACACAGAGGACATTTTGGTTCCCCACAGGCCGCTCAGTGTGTGACACTTTGTCACAGCAGCCAGAAGGGAGCAGGACAGCCGTTCTCTCCACCCATAGCAAGAAGGGCCGTGCCCGGCGCCGGGCTCACCTTCAGCAGCGCCTGCAGCCACGGGGAGTGCAGAAGGTCATACAGCAGGCTCACTCCGCTCACGTCGCGGCTGTAGAACAGACTCAGCTCCTGCAGCAGGAGCCTCAGGATTCTGGAGAGACCTGGAGGGGGTGGGCCGAGCCCAGGGGGCAGGAACAGCAGGGTGGGTGTGAAAGACAGCAGGGACGACTGGGTGCTTCCCGGAGGAGAGGAGCTGGCTCAGGGCTGAGGGCAGACCTGGCTTCGGGCCTGTTTCCCTCACTGTCTGAAAACCAGTTCCATAGGCAAAATGAGAAGACGCTAGCTTTCTGCAGGGCCACAGCTAACACTGGATGAAGATTGTCACCCAGAGACCACACAGAGGTCTGGCGATTGTTTTCCCTGCCTCCTCTCATCAGCCATGGTTCACCCCAAATTTTCCAGCTGTTTTCTGATCTGCTTATTCTAACTCATTGAGTCACTTGTTTTCACCCACTGTGAAAATTCTTATCAAAAGTGTTACTGAGAACACTAACTCCCAGTAGGTTTCTAGCACACATTTCAGCACCCAACTGAGTAAAGGGACTAATGAGATTTTAGTGAATGCTCGATTTCTTTTCCATAAAAATTCTGCTTTTGTACTTTTTTTGCAGGGGGGTACCAGGAATAGAACTCATGGTCTTGTGCTTGCCAGGCAGGGGCTTGTGCTGCTGAGTTATATCCCTGGCCCCCATACTGATATTTTGAAGGTGAACAAGTTCTGCAGTTGTTCTAACGTGAACAAGTTCTGCATAAGACAGTAGGGGACAGGGAAAATGTTCTGAAACTGCCATGTCAGTTTTTCTCCTGCCAGCCTTGGAAAAGGGCTGTCTTGTCACTAGCAGTAGAGGTAGGGCAATCAGCGGTGCTCTTTCCTTGTGGGAGCACAGTGGCTCAGTCTGAGTTTCTGCCTGTGCCTGTGATCAAGTATTTGGAGTGACGTAAGGTCTCTGTGGTCCAGGAAAGGCCCACTGGCGATACATACCATTCTCCACGTGGTCCGCCGTGGAAAGCTTCCTGTCCTTGTCTGGTAGATCTGCCCCTGGGTCTGACTGAATCATCCTCACTGCACAAGCTTCCGAAGGGAATTCAGAACTAGGAAGCAGATCAATAAACAGCACGGAGCTCACCCCATCAGACTGGCCTCGCAGCCCTCAGCAGTGCACACATTTTCAACAGGTTTTACTGGGCAGGTCAGGCACTGTGCCGCTCCCTGAAGTGCCCATCAAGTGAATTATAGTCTTCCTGGGGGTACTCACACGCCAAACCAACCACCACCTGCTGCGTGAAAGAGAAAACCACTTCCTAACACCTCCCAGACCCCGTTTACATAAGTGGGAATCATTACATTTACTTGTCCTCTACCTGTTTACCTAGTTAATCTTGTCCATCATTCAGAGCTCAGAAGGGCCTTTCCTGTCCTGACTGCATGCAGGTGCCCATTATCTATGCTGTCCTTATAATTCTTCATAGAAGATTTAACTGATCACAACTACACTGTTGCAATTTAGAGGACCTAGCTGAGCCTATGTGTTACAGGTTGCTGCTGAGACCTATTCTCAGAATTTAGAGACAGAATAGTAATGACGTGTTTCTCTAGATATCCTTTCTGGCCCAGCCTCACAGCCTTCCTAAATCCTAGGCCATGGTTCTTATCCTTATAAGATTCAACACTAGTCCCTAAAAACTAATTTGAAATGCTTATTTTAATATTTATTTACTATATTGCTTTAGGTGAGTAGTTGAGAGTAGAAGTTTAAATCTTGCTCATGTGAGAGTTGGGAGGCAGAGGATGCAGAGCTGGTAGGGCAGCCAGCTCCAGCAGACCCTCAGGGAACAGGCTTCTTGCAGCTTTCTGCTCTACCACCTTGGGGTGGGGTGTAGAGCAGAACATCATCCACCTGCTCCCAAGTGGTAGCACAGCTCCAGACATCATCTCTACATTTCAGCCAGGGGAATGGGGAGGGATTAAGAGCATGTGGCAAAGGAAATACACCTACTGCTTTTCAAAGGCTTTTCCCAGAAGTTGCCCTACATAATGAGGAATAATCCCTTCAACTGTAGAACTTTTAAATGTCTCATTAGACTTCCATGATGGGGTGGGTATGATCCAACTTTTCTTTATAAACATAAAATACTGTTGCAGTTATAACACACACCAAATGTGATGGAATGGTACCACAATTGAGAAATGAATTTACTTTACCAAGTTGTCCACTAATTCAGAAAACCATGTCATTAATAGCAATGCTCCTCGTGGCACTGAGAAAATCACAACACACCGTATCACGCTGTATCTGTCCTTTCATTCAAACCTCGCACAGGTTTTGCATAGGCTCAAGTGCGTGCTGGTTCACTGTCTTCTGGCACAGTGAAGTCCCACACCTACATACTGAAATACACTACATCTTAGGAGTGACTGTCCCTTTAACGTGTCCTTTTTATTACTAGGGCAGTAAATGGACTTAAAAACAAATCATGTGTAGGTTGGTTTGAGTCCTCTGAGGATCAGACACAGAGTAAGGATTCCAGGCAGGTGACTTTTGTGTAAAGTGACCCCAGGAAATACCAGAAGGTAAGGAGGGTATCGAGACTGCAAATGAGAACAAACTGCTGGAAAACTGTTTTGGTTCAAACACGCAGCTACTGTGGGCAACTGGAGCTCAGTCCCACCAGGAATAAAGGACAAAGCATGGGTGGAGGTGCAGCCCCTCGGGCTGCAGTCCTGGGGTGAAGGTGGTCCACTGGGCAGTGCCACAGCCCTCCCACCTGGCCCTCAGACTTCGGGTGCAAAGGCAGGCACAGTGGGGGGCACGGGAGTGCAGACAGGGTGTGGGTACAGTAACACCATGTCACACTAGGTGAAACTGCAATTAGTGGCGGAGCACTGAATCTGATGGTTTGATCCATTGTCTAGAACTAGATGGAATGCAAGGTTAAGTGAGAAGGCTATCTCAAAGAAAAAAGATCGTTATGTTGTCCTGAGTTCTAAGACAGTGAGAAGAGACACAGAAAGCTGCCTGTTTAGACAAGTGTCCCATACACCTCTTTCAGCCATGCTGAAGTCATGTGTTGCTAAATTCCACCCAAACATGGTATTGCTATTGTCACCCCCCCAACCCCCAGCCCTTTCCTGTGTTCTTTTGGAGTTTCATGGGTCACTTAATGGAGCTGTGCGTGACTTCTCTCTCCTGGAGGCAGCACTTCCACAGAGAGCATTGCAAAGGGAAGCAGGGGCCCCAGACACCCACAGAAGATGGGCTGAGGCCCAGCAACCCCTAAATGCTATCTTAGGGTGCGTCCCAACCTTGTCCTTGGTAAGCCAACGTGTGCACAGCCCAAAGCGGGCCGCGTTTAATACTTTGCCGAGATGACGGTGCGCTGTGCGCGGCCGCTCACTCAGCGCACAGAGGTGAGGGGAGCTTCCTGTGAGGCCTGCGCCTCATAATAGGTGGCGGCTTCTGCAGTGAATTACTATCAAAGTAACTCCTATAAATTACAGCCAATGCAGGGCCACTTGGCTAATTCACATATTCTAAAAGGCTCATGTTGACCAAAAGACTCTCAGCCACAGAAGCATAAAGCAAGTAATTTTTACTTCTACAACCTCAGTGGACCCTAAAACTGTGCCTGAGCCAGGTGTGGTGACACACACCTAGGCAATATAGTGAGTATGAGGCCAGCCTACATTACAATTTTAGACCCAGTCTAAAAACAAAAGCCCTAAAATTACTGCTGGCTTATACTCAGGTTTCAGCAACAATGACTAAGAGTGAATTTCTCCCACCCTCTCCCATACCAATTTGTATTGAGGCCCTGATTCCCACGGTGATGGGGCTGAGATGGGGCGCCTGACAGATAGGGCCCCCACGCCACCTGACTCAGCACCTCTCTCAGACGGCTTGTTCTTTCTCTCTGCCACATGAGCTTACAGTGAGGAGGCAAACATCTACAGGCCAGGACCAGGGCCCTCATCTCTGACTTTCCATCCTCCAGAATTATGAAAAGTTCCTCTTGTTTAAGCCACCCAACCCGGAGTATTGTTACTGCAGTCCAAGTCTAGATGAAATTCACAGAAATTCCAGAAAAGGATCTCCCCTTCTCCCCCAAGGTAGCTACGAAATGGCTACAGTTCACTGTCCTCACGGTGCTTACCAGGCTTCCCAATTCTACTTCATCACTTGCTCAGTACCCCTCCACAAGTGAAACATCATGAGCAGCCTCCCCGTGGCCTGGCTCACAGCAAGAACTTAGTATTTTAGTGGTGGGGAAAGGATTAGAAAAAATGGGAGCCATGGAAGACAAAGGCTGCTCTCTCTCAGAACAGGAGCTCATCCTGAGCGGGAGGGAGCTGACCTCTGCAGGCCTCCCTGCTCCCTTCCAGCCAGGTTCTACTTCACCTCCTTGTCTATTAGGAACCTTAGAGATTTTCCAGGTAAGGAATGTGACATGCACGAGGTATTCAGAATGGCTGACAAGCAGGAAGATCAGCGCTCGTCTGTCAGTGCTGGAGTGCTGTACCTGGTGACTCCTTCTCTCATGACTTCTGTACCAACTTTGTCAGCCAAGACAAGTGTTTGTGCTAGCTAGAGGACGAGAGTTCTTGATTAAGTCTGCGAGTAAGTCGGGGCCATGAGCATGAAATGCGGGCTGATCAAGTAAGAGGAAGGATGGCCAGTTCTGGTCATCGATGTGGAAACTGTACTGTCACTACTGACTTGTAAGGCCTTTGCCCTAAGTGTTACTTTGAAAGTATTCCCATTAGCTCTAAAAAGTACACTGACTCCGATTCAAAGCTTCTTCAACCTCTTCCCCATTACGCTTGCTTCTCAAAACAATGCTTTGAATAGACAAAGCTGGAAAAAGCAACTAAAAAGTCCAAACTGGCCCATTCAAAATGGCTGGCTTCCTTTGCACCAAATGCTGTTGAGTAGGACTGGGACACATGCTGCTTTACACATGCTCCGTGACACTCACCATTTCATAGTTAAGAAACAGCTTCTCAAAGCAGAACCTGTTCTTTCACAATCGTGAAAATTTCCATGTAATTTGACTAACTATGCAACTCAACCTTTAATTATTTTTAAATTATTATTATAAAATTATTTAAAAATCTAGATTACCCAAGATTCTACTGTTCACAATTAACAATGTATAGAAAGGCTAGACAATCATAGATGTCTTCTGGTAACTGAGATTTATCAGTCTCTTACCTGCAAGACTATAAACATGTAACGCTGCTCCAGTCCAGACAAAGGCCTGAGTAGAAAATCCCCATGGGTTATTAGCTGCCAAAGTCACCTCTCTGCTCTGGGTAAAATCTCTGAACATCCTCTTTGACTTAATCCACAGACTTAATCCAGCCTAACCACTAAGTTACTCAGAAGTCTCTCTGTCACAAGTGCCATGTATTCCTCGCACTGACTCATCTAATTTACATCGTTCCCAACCTTCACCAGTATTTTATACTTCCAGCACACAGTAGTACATTCATACTTTCGTTGACTATTTTAGAATAAGAGATGCTCCACAAGAAGGCATTTTTATTTTAATGAACTGAAAAACCGGAGGCACCGGGGGTGAAATGACCTCGTAACCTTATTTCTTACGTTCTGGTGAGAAAACAGTGATACCCTCTGCTGTAATCACGAGGCCCATCAGAAACAGCTGTTTCTGGCCCATCCTGCGATGCCTCTGTCTTCTGAGACAGGGTCTTGCCATGAAGTTCAGGCTGGCCTTGAACTTACTGTCTCCTAAGTGCTGAGGTTATAGGTATGTGCCGCAACGCGTGGCCTTTTATTTTTTAGGGTACCCAAAGTCATTTTCTCCATAAAAACCTCATAAAGATGCATGTCTTTTATTATGAAAATTGCTGTACATTACAGTCAACATTCGGAAACAGTATTTTAACAAACATTTGCCTTGATTATAAACAGCAGAGACCACAATCCTTTTCAACAGTAACGAACATCTGCTGAGTCACTTCACATTGCTCAGGCTCCTTTGCTTGCCAGGGTGGAGAGGAGCGGAGAAGAGCACCTCGGTGATCCAAACAGCTGCGAGTGTTACTGGTACAGTGGGAACCAACAACTTACAACAGGACACTTAAAAAAAGCAAAACACCAAACTGCTGAGGTGAACAATACTTCTGAGATAGGAAAAGCCAAAGCTCATTTCCTTTTCCTTCCCACCTGTGGCTTCAGCACAAGGTATGGGAAGAACAACAGCAGGCTAGGGTCCATGCAGCTGTTTCCACACATCCCTGACTTCAGGCTGCATGCGGAATGGCTCGTCCCAGTCTTGGCATGCAGCGTCTGCAGTGGACAGCTGAGGGCCGCAGCGGCCTGGAGTCAGTGTTGAATTCCAGTGTGCTTGCTCTCTGTAGTACAGCAAGGAAAGCAAACCCAGATTTCCTATGTTCTTTTTAATCAGGAGGCAGAAGACTCCTATCTGGATGCAGTGTACACTTTTATTTTTTGTTTTTTTTGTTGTTTGTTTGTTTTTCTTCCAGTACGAGGAATCGAACTCACGACCTTGTGCTTGCCAGGCAGGCGCTTTGCCGCTGAGCTAAATCCCCAGCCCCTGCAGTCTACACTTTTGGTCAGGATGTGACAGTCACTGCACAGAATCTCTCCCATCCTCAATATCCAGTGGAAAAGCTTAGAAAAGTTAAAACTGCAGTTTAAAAATTCCCCTTTCCCCTCCACCAGCAAAGAAGCACAGCACACACAGGAGTGCAAGGGTCAGGAGGCACAGAATGGCCATGACAGTTTCAAGTACAATCTGCTCCTTGCAAAGGGATCTGGGGTAACTGCAGAGGGATTTGGCAATCCGGAAACTCAAAAATATTCATCAACTTCTTATAATGTAAGAAGGTATATTAAGAACTTTTCCTACAAAGTTAACTTTTCCTGTTATGTAGCTGACATACCCTCGAGCACAGGAAGGTAAAAATGTAAGTATGAAATTTTTGGAATTTAACATAGGTCAACAGCTGGTCCAATCTATTTCTATCTAGTTTTCTATCTTCTTTTTAAACTACACAGTGTTTTTTTTCTGGGCTATGGGCTCTAATTACTAGTGAGGCTCAGAAATAACAACCAAAATTACATAAAGTCCTTTCCAATTTCAACACTGTTTTTTCCCACCACTGCAAACAGACTCCAGATGGTAGCAGATAATCCAGTTTTCAAGCTATTATGCAGTCTAGTTAAGCTTCTCACGCTGAATCTGGTAGTAACATGCCTGAAGAAAAGTTTAAAACAATTTAGAATTTACTTAAATTACATAAACAGTAATGTACATTAATCTAAAGAAAGAAAATTCTTCAGTAATGACTGATGTACCAACAAATTCAATTTTGAGCACTTTTCCTGTTCCCTTCAAGTCCCTGTACCCAATGGCCATTTTTTTGTCTCGGTGTAATACATATGAAGTTTTGTGTATTAAACAAAAAGCTTGCACAGGTTGTACACTATGATCCGCCATGCAGAAATAACCTGATGCAGCAACAGCAACCAGCACTTGAAGGGACCCAGACAACTGCAGCCAGGGGCTGGGGATTTAGCTCAGCAGCAAAGCACCTGCCTGGCAAGCACAAGGTCGTGAGTTCGGTTCCCGGTACCGGAGAAAAACAAAAAAAAAAGAGACAACTGCAGCCAGATCACTGCAGCATTAGTAAACACAGAACTGAACAACACTGCGGCCAGATGTCGGGATTTCCAGGAAGGTGTTTTTAAAAAAGCATCCTCAGTGACTCTGAAAGTACCTCGGTTTGGGAATTAGTCATACTACAATGAACACCACCATCCAGGTAATATATGTTTTCCAGGCTTTCATTTCTGAGGACAGGATTACTGAGTCAAACTCCAGTTGTCGGTACCTATGTTACTAGCAACTTATAGCAACTGCTATTACAACAGCGAAGTGTGACTGCTATTTAGCCCATATCTGCAACGTGGGAATGATTTCACTGTAAGCCCACCAGCAAGGGGAATTATTTTAAAACATTTGCTAATGGCCAGGCATGGTGGCGCATGCCTGTAATCCCAGCACTCGGGAGGCTGAGACAGGAGAAACGTTGTGAGTTCGAGACCAGCCTGGGCTACAAAGTGAGCTCAAGGCCAGCCTGAATTGCATAGAGAGATCTGTCTCAAAAAAAAAAAGAAACAAACAAAAATTAATAAATAAATAAATAAATAAAAATAAAACATTTGCTAATTTAGAAGGCATAAAATGACACCTTGTTTACAACCGTACATATGCTTTTCAGTAAATTTGAGCATTTTTCTACATGTAAATTTACTTACTCTTTTCCTTTTTGGTATGTTTAGAGACATTCTTCATATAACATTAAATACAGAAATGTAACTAACTTTTATCCAAAGTTTTTTTTCTAATTTCCTTCCCTTTTTTCTGTTTTTTTTTTAAATACAAAATTTATTGGTGTGCTAGGTGTGGTGGTGTACACTGTAACCCCAGCACTCTGGAGGCTGAGGCAGGAGAACTGCTGCAAGTTCCAGGTCCGCCTGGGCTCCATAGTGAGTTCAAGGCCAGCCTGAACTACATAGTAAGATCTTGTCTCAAAAAAAAAAGGAAATTTATTGGTGTGTAGGTAAAAAGTTTAAGAAGTTAATCTAGGCCAGAATTTAATTTAATTGACATTAAATTCTATTTTTTCCCTCATTTTAATTTACCTGTTTTTCCTGTCTTCCTTTCTCTATATCTAGCCCCCAAGGCATCTCTAATTTTCTATCTCACTCTTCCTCTAAAACTGCTTAATAAACAAACTACCTAATACGATGTTTAACCATTTATTAAATAATTCACCTTTTTCCATTTTTGATGCTTCCATTTTCATATGAGGTTTTTATTGCAGGAGTGTTTGTACAGAGGCTATCCCTTCCATTTAGGTACTGTCTACTCCTGTGACAGTAAAGTACTATTTCATTTTAATTACTGTGATATTGTAATATTTCACTAACTGGCAAATTGGGCTTGATCTGCTTCCTTTTCGGAAGTATTTTTGCCATTTTCTAACTCATCTTCTGATTAACTTTAGAGTGATTCTATCAAAATCCATGAAAAAACAAATGTGGAAAATGAAAAGTACTTCTAACAACACCTAGAGGGCATCCATATCAAAGAGCCTCATATGTAACCTACGGAGTTATAGAAAAAACATGCAAAAAGGAAAAAGATGGAGTTGAAGTGCATTATTTATACATTGCCTCTTGTGTTTTAACCTAAGTTCCATTAAATAGCTCTACTGCTGGATACTTTTTAGAACATTAATAATTTTTTCTGCTTTCCTTTTGGAGTTATTTAAACCCCAAAGTGTCTGAAATTTATTTATTTATGTATTTATTTGTGTCTTTTTGAGACAAGGTCTGGCTATGCAGTTCAGGATGACCTTGAGCTCATTTTGTAGCCCAGGCTGGTCTCGAACTCACAAAGGTCCTCCTGCCTCAGCCTCCCGAGTGCTGGGATTACAGACTTGTGCCACCACGCCCGGCAATAATTTGCTTTAGTACTCTGAATAATGGTGGACATCTTACTTTTAAAAAAATTATTATTATAGTTTTAACTATTAATAGAGTATGTTCTAAAGGTAATGTTTGCATTGAACTTTTCTATAAAGAAAGTAATGACAAATTGATAATACGGTAAATAATATAAAGGACAGTTTTGTTTTGTTTTTTTGTCTTTTTGAGACAGGGTCTCACTATGCAGTTCACGCTGGCCTTGAGCTCACCTTTTAGCCCAGGCTGGTCTCGAACTCGCAACGTTCCTCCTGCCTCAGCCTCTCGAGTGCTGGGATTACAGGCGTGTGCAATCACGCCCAGCTTGAAGGACAGTTTTAAGCTAAACAATTATTAAATAATACCTACACCCACCTTCAAGGTAGTGAACATTATGCCCTGCTCCCCATGTTGAAGATAAGGGTCCATCAGATCTTCAATAAGGTGCACCTCAGAGCCTAAATTCCTAATCCTGCCCCAAAGAGAAAAGGATGGTAAGTTTTTTCTATTTCCATCTGCCTTTCGAATCTGTTGATGGGAAAAGAAAGAACAGCTCAAATAAAAAGATAACATCATGATGGGATGAGTTAACAGAAGTGTTCCTTTTTCCCTAGAGAGAAGAGAACACATTCCTCTCATCAGTTTAGAAAAAGCAAAGAGCAATATTAAAATACTGGCTCTGATAATAAAGTTGAAAAGACAAGATACCTGGCCCGCAGCACCACATATAAGAACACTGGAAACAAGTCATCCATGGACCACAGGAAGTCTTCCTGGAGTGAAGCCAGGACACTCTGAGAGATCTCCTCAAAAGTCTGCTGAATGACCTTAAGTTTGTCTGATGGGGTAAAGGTTGTGCTAATTAAAAAATAAAAAAAAAAAATTATAAAAAGACATCTTATAATTTTCTTAACAAAGCCACTTCTTATTAATTTTTTGACAACAATCCCTTTTGAGTTTCACAGCCAATTCGAACTGGATGTACCAGGCATACTGAGTCCCAGGGCGGGAGCCCCCTGCTATCCCATGGCTTTAAGGAAACTACCTCCAGCTGTTGATGGTCCACATGGAAGAATCCATAAGTCACACAACATTTCCTTTTATCTATGTGAAATCTTATTCTAATACATGCTTTTTTTTTACATTACAGGTTCGGTTAATTTCCATTTGGCTAAAGATGTGAATATATAGATAAATTATTGGGTAGGTTCTCCACTATTTTTGAAAATGCAAGAGCATTTTAGAGTACAGGTTAACCTAAATGTCTCAGAAGAGACTTTCTGATCTCCGAGCTGAACCAGACACTACTGGGAGTGCAGGGGGGCATTCAGAGCTTAGGTTAAAAACAAGGTATCATTAATATCCCAACAGACCAAAACAGAACTTTGAGGTTCTTGATTTATTAGTGAATCAGAAATTACCTGATCTGTTGCAGACATTCTACTGCTGAGGCAAAACAAGCATCTTTTGTGGTTGGCAAAATCTACAAAAAGAGAGTGAAAGTCAGAGAGGAAAGCTGTATTTTGCGTAATAAAAGTAACTGATACTGAGGGCCATGTAGTTCACTGGTGGATAACTAATGTTAGCACAAGTCTGAGTACTGTTCTACCCAAGTAAAATGAAAAAAATTTTTGCTATCTAATCCTTCCCACCAAAGAAAAACATATTTTTTAAGGAAACTAAAATCTACTATACCTTTTTACTCTCTCCAAGGATTGACAAAGTTACTGGCCAAAATTTCCTACAAAGAAATCCATAAATTGTTAATACAAATTGTTATTATAATAGATAAATCTCTATAAAAAGTTGACAGTTATATGGACTTTCCCACTTTCTCATTAAAAGTAACTTCCACAGATAGTTTGAGTTTTAATAAATATTCCAGTATCTACCTCATCTGGAAGGGATTTATGATTCCACATTCAATGATCCTACACATAGGTAGTAACAAATATTGTCTAAAATCTTTCCTTCACTAAGTTTTATCTCATTTTTTATTAAGTTTTCCACTGAAAAAACTTTCCAATTAAGTCTTTTTTTTATGCACTTGTGATCAGTTTTTTAAATTTTATTTTATTTTATTTTATTTTTTGGTTTTTCTCCGGTACCGGGAACCGAACTCATGACCTTGCGCTTGCCAGGCAGGCGCTTTTGCCGCTGAGCTAAATCCTCAGCCCCAGTTTTCTAAATTTTAAAAATAAAAGAAGGAAAACATTAACAGACAACCTTTTACAAAATAGCAAAAGAACAGCACAGACAATGCAGAGTTACAAACAAAGTGGTAGGAAATTAACAATGCTTGTATTACATATTGGTATCTTCAAAGTGGTTTCTCATGAAAACAGAGACATGGAATATTGATCACTCAAGGACTCACTGACAATTTCTTTCAGCAAAGAAATAGAAGACAGTAGAACAACTATGTTAACTATCATGTATGTACATACATACAAAATTTCTCGTTCTTTCCCTTCTCTTCTCCCACATCCCAGCTGCCCTTTACCCTTGAGTGTTTTCCTATTATTTCACAATGTCTATCATACCTCTGAGTTTAAATTAACTCTTTCAGGTTTTACACTAGTGAGACAATGCAGTGCTTGCACATGCGGGTCTGATTTATTTCACTTATGAGTATGGTCTCTAGCTGTGACCATTTATTCTTTTTTTTTTTTTTTCTTTTTGAGACAGGGTCTCACTGTGCAGTTCAAGCTGGCCTTGAGCTCACTTTGTAGCCCAGGCTGGTCTCGAACTTACAACAATCCTCCTACCTCAGCCTCTAAGTGCTGGAATTACAGGCATGTGTAACCACACCCAGTTATTAATTTTTTTGATAGTACAAATCCAAAATACTAAATGTATTTGTACACTTAGGGTATCAGCTTTATTAGTCTACTGGAAAGAAAGCAGTCATTCAGTGTTACCTTGGAATATCAAGACATAATGCCTTATATCAAGAGCACATCTAGAATTTTAAATTAAAAACTGCAGCTGAAGAAGAAAGGAAAACAAAAAGGGAAAGAAGAATGCCAAAGACTGAACACAATTTTTTCTAAGGAATGTGATATAAGATACACATTTTCCTTTAAATAAGCACACAGTAATTTAGTTTCTCTACATGACAATGTAGGCGAGTGTTACTCTGTCCTGCAGTGGCTACATTCAAAATTTTATTCTGTAGCAGCATAGTTAAGAATCTCATGAACTAAAATACTTACTTGATGATAAAGTTTGCTTTCATAGGCCCTTAAATGGATTAGCAAAAATATATTTTTAGTCTTTCGAGCCAGTCTAGAATATTTAGAATATATTTAGAAAAATATTCTAGAAGAATATTTTAGTCTTTCGAGCCAGTCTAGTAAGAATAAGCAGTTTCATATTTCCATATATTTTCCGAAATGAAGATGATTATTATTTTTTCTTACTAAGAGATGTGCCAATAATAAATTGCATGTTATCTGTATGCATACATACATAATAAAGGTAGATGCCAAGTACCACATTCCCGATTATGCTGATAAACTTGAGAGTAAAACCTGCTTATCACTAACTACTCGACCTACCTCTGCACCCCAAGAAAGCCCAGGAGAGCCACATCCGGCTGCTTGTTTAGCCGCAGCACACACTCCCAGTAGACGTCTTCCTCGCGGTCGTGCTCCAGCGCGTACAGCATGAAGAGCGGTGGGTACAGCCGCGGCAGCAGCATGGGGAGCAGCAGTCCAGAGCTCGTAACTACACAACTACAAAATATTGGGTGGAAGCCCAGGCACATTTGTATTAAAACTGCAAACAGAATCAAAGACTGAATCTCAGCTTCTAAAATTCAAAGTATAGATGGAAAAATTTATTTATTTATTTATTTATTTATTTTTTGTCTTTTTGAGACAGGGTCTCACTATGCAGTTCAGGCTGGCCTTGAGCTCACTTTGTAGCCCAGGCTGGCCTCCAACTTGCAACATTCCTCCTGCCTCAGCCTCCCAAGTGCTGGGATTACAGGCGTGCACCACCACGCCCAGCTCAGATGGAAAAATTTAAAGGTTTTAATACTCTGCTTGTTAAACAAAGAGCTCACCTAGAGCCCCAAACTTGATTTTGCACTAACTGTTAATTCTACCCAGTAACTCAAATCTGTTCCCATTTTGAGGCCGCTTTCTCTGGAGTTTCCCTTGGTCTGTATGATTTATTTTGCTTGGCTCCTGATTCCTGAGGTACAGACCTCAGGAACTTGAGACCTCACAGGAACCTGGAGATCACCTAAGCCAACTACACCACGTAGAAACCAGGAAACAGACCTAGAGAGCGCCACTTATTCCAGCGACTCTTCGATAACATCATCTGGCCCTCACTCCCTTTCTCCACTTTCTTGGCCAACTCCATTTACCCTGGCTCTGGTGATTCAGATCTGGAATCTGACTTCGCAGTGCAAAAGGACTTCCTTTCAGTTGGGAGAGGAGCGGAGAAAGGAACTGTGCTGCCCTCTTCAGGTAGTTCAGGAAATAAGAACCTAAGAAACAATACATACAAACCAGACATTAAATATTCTTCTAGACTGGCTTGAAAGACAAAAATATATTTTCATTAATGCATTTAAGGGCCTATGAAATCAAACTTTATCATCAAGTAAGTATTTTAGTTCCCTGAGATTCTTAACTGATGCTGCTTACAGAATAAAATTATGCATGTAGCCACTGCAGGACAGAGTGACACTCGCCTACAATCCCATAACCCAGGAAGGCTGAAGCAGGAAGACCATGAGTTCAAGGCCAGCCTGGGGTTACCGAGCAAGATACTGTCAAAAACAGAAACAGAAACAAAAACAAATGACATACACATATGTGCACAAAATTGTGCAGCTACTAAAGAGTATTTTTAAAAACCTGTCAGTAACTAAGAAATGAAGACTTCTGATCTACAAATCCCTTTTGTTTTGTTTTGGTTTTGGTACTGAGAACTGAACTCAGGCCCTTGCACTTGCCAGGCAGGTGCTGTGCCACTGATCCCCAGCCCTTGGAAAATCTTATCTGAGGCCAATATATACCAGAGACCATTATTCTCAGATATAAGCAAATACCGATGGAAACTACTTAAATGTTTGATGTTAAAAGATGATTTAAAAAATTATAAAAAATTCAATTAATGTAAATTTTGCAAGTGTTTTGTTAAAGAGGTTTCTTTCTTCCTTTTTTTTTTGGGGGGGTGTCTTTTTGAGACAGGGTCTCACTATGCAGTTCAGGCTGGCCTTGAGCTCACTTTGTAGCCCAGGCTGGTCTTGAACTCGCAATGATTCTCCTGCCTCAGCCTCCCGAGTGCTGGGATCATAGCCATGCGCCACCACACCCAGCAAAAGTTGAGCGGCTGGAAGTTAATTTTTCAGTACCCCCCTATCCTAGATTTTATCTGACTTCTGGTATGCTGGCAGACTCTGCTACAAACAAGTTTATTGTCCTCTTAGTTGGATAGGCTTAAATTCTGACCTTTCAGAGGCAACTTGCAATTACCTCTACTTTTGCAGACTTATACGCTGCCCCTCCTCTGCCTTTATTTTGTAATTGGGGAAACTAAAAAAGGCCAAGAAACTTATCTTCATCCTATACATCTAGCTAATGGGAGAGCTGAAACACTCCCAGCCCTGTGATCTCAATGGACACACTTGATCCCACCAAATCAGAAATATTTCCAAACATGTTTATCAGTTTTGAGGCTACTAAGATAAGGAAGTTTCTGGGAAAAATTCAACACTTTTATATAACTAATACAGTATTTCTCTGTTAGCATAAACCCAATAAAAGATCTTGCATATCTCAAACTCACCTTCAGTTACTGTCTGGAATTTGCTTTCCTAAGACCTCTAATGGCTCATTTACTGCCCCCTTCAAGGTCCTGCTCAACCCTGAGAGTCAGCGTCCCAGTCTTCTGCACAGCACCAGCACCTCCTCCCGCCCGTCCCGCACCCCACCCTCATCTTCCTCCAAAGTGCTAATCACTGGCAGACTACATATGTTAGTGGCTCACTCACTCTCTCCACTTAAGTAGTAAGAAGCAGTTTTTTTACTTGTTTGTTTTGCTTTGTTCTCTGATAAACCCCCAGGACACAGGGTGATGGCTATTGGCTATTTGCTAAATAAATAAATGTAAAGCTCTTGCCAAGGGACAGAACTTGATACTGGTAGTTAGGTTTTAGGGGCATAATTTTGTCTAGACAATATATCAAAATAAGACAACCAGGCTGGGCATGGTGGCTCACGCCTGTAACCTCAGCACTTGAGGCTGAGGAGGACTGAAAATTCAAGACTAACCTGGACACTTTAGTGACTTAGGACCTTCAAAACAAAAACAAAGATATTTCATATCAAATTAAAATTATGAGTAAGAATGCATAAAAGAAGTAACAATG